TGTCATCAGCTGCTTTGGGCCTTGAGCTTTTGGATTTACCTGAGTATCTGCAGGCAATGTCCCATGAGGACGATTATTCAAAGAGATCGAGATCTGGCCCATTTGCACTTCAATATTCTTTATGGCTGACTCGTGTGCATCTACTCTTTTACTCATTTTCGCATTTGACCCAATAACCTGCTGCATCATTGCCTCGAGTCTAACAAACCCATTTTCCTGTCTCCCACCATGTTGCTGTTGAAGAGGGTGATAACCCTGCTACAGATTTTGGTTGTTGTACCCTTGTGGCCTTTGGTAGGGCACCATATTATCGTGAGGTCGCATGGCTCCCATATTTCCATTATTGTGTTGTGGCTGGACCGGTCTGTATGACTGATTTTGTTGGCCCCAATTCTGACCACCTTGTCTCTGGCCCCCATAATTAGACACATAATTCATGTTCTCAAGGTAATGATGATGATCACTTTCCGCATTTCACTGGCTACCAATTTGCTTACTAATGCAAAATATGCATAAGCCCCCATTGGTTGTATCTATAATGTGCACCTGCTGCTTGTGCCCTGACTCTTCCACCTTTTTGATGAGTATGCTCATTTGTGTCATTAAGGTGGCCATATTTTCAGCAAGAGTGTTGGCTGGATCTAAGGCCACTGAGTGAACTACTGGAGTGATAGGTGCATTCCTGGTTGTCCACCCCGAATTTTGTGCCATCTTGTCAAGCAGGATCTGGCTTTCTCTCCATGATTTGCTCAAGAATGCTCCACCAGCTGAAGCATTAACATTAGCCTTCACGCTATATGTCAGACTCATCTTCTCTGGAATACCGTGGTGCGGACATATAACCAACATCCCCTTGAATCGTTCCCATGTTTCTTGCAATGTTTCTATTGGTTTCTGTCTGAAGCTCAAAATTTCATCAATTTGCTGAGCAGTCTTATTGAGTGGATGAAACTTATTCACAAATTGCTTGACTAACTCCTCCCAAGTCATGATGGAATTAATAAGGAGTGAATTTAGCCAAGTCTGGGATGCTCCTGTCACTGAGAATGGAAACAACAACAGCTTTATTGCTTCCTGAGTTACGTTGGGTTGTCTTTGAGTTTTGCAGATTGACAGGAAATTCTTCAAGTGTTGTTGAGGATCTTCAATGTATGATCCCAAAAATAGTCCCTTGTTTTACAACAAGTGCAGCATGTTGTTTGTGATTTGAAAAGATTAAGCCTGTATCTGCGGGACTACTATCGTTGTGGCCAAATTCTCTGTTGTGGGTTGCGCCCAGTCATATAGAGTAGCCTCTGGCACAAGAGGCTCTACTACCTACGCAGTTGGGTCTACCACGTTATCCCCGTTATTATTTTTGTTGTTTACCAGCTCTCCCATGTCTGGTTCAGGTTGTTCAGTTGATTGTTGTTGTTTGTTTTTCCAGTTGGCCCAATTCAAGGCCTTGAAAACTTTCTCGGGATCTGATAATGCTTCTAACACCTCACTAGTTCTCGATGAGTTTCTAGGCATGCACCTGTATAACCAAGTTAGCAAACGTTAAAATTTCAATGTATGGATTGAAAATAAAGAAAACTGACTACACTAAGAATTTTTGTATTTCTTTCAACTATAATTGATAACACCGTTAATTCCCCAACAACGACACCAAAATTTGATCACGCCCAACTATGCCTTATAAAAAGGACAAGCAGTCATTACAAATATAATCTGGGTATTTAGCTCAGAGTCGAATCCCACAGGGAACTAACCTACCAACTACTTTTGTCAGATTCACTGAATTTTCCATAATCAACTTCCCAGATATTTTGAATAACATTTGGTGATATTTATACTAACTATAACTGAATAAAATTAAGTAAACTAAAAGCTAACTATGACTGAGTTGTAAATAAATAAGAGAAGGATCTAAGGTTGTGATTTCCCCAATTGATGGAATCCCTTCCTGTAATGTTTCGTATAGATTTGCCTAATCTTCTCTATCGATCATGAGCACTCTTACTACCGTAACTCTCTCCCGAGTAATTACGACAATTTACTAGACGTACTCTCCCGAGTTACGCTAGCTGGTTTTTATTACAGCTCACTTAGATTGCACCCAAGGTTTCGTTATCCCTAATCTCACCTTTAAACCCTCGGTTATTGATTCCTCATATACTTTGAGAGTGGTGTTGTTCAACAACTACCTAAATATGCACTCTCTTCTGAGTAATACATATTAAATAGGCACAGCTAATTGATGATCCTATCAATTAACTACACAAGAATGTAGTTGAATAAATAGAGAATAAACTGGGCAAATTATATTGACACAACAAGAAGTTCATCCCTCAACATGTTCCATCAAAACCTTAGACTAAATAATTAGCTGCTCATAATCGTGTTCATAATAACAACAAAATTCATCATGAATGATAAAAACAAAAGAAATAGAGGTAGAATTCAATGCCGAATTATCCTCCTTGCATGTTGCCTCTTCTTGCCTTCAACAAAACTATAAAAACCTTGATATCCTCTTTTTGGGCGAGCTGGAACTCTTATAGGTTAAGTGGAATTGCCCCCAAACTTCTAAGTTTACCCCTAAAATTTTTGCGTTTCGGAGTGACTAGTGCGGCCGCGCTTGAACCGCACATGGGCCGCGCAAATGGCATTCTACACTGTCGCTGCTTCCTGGACTAGCGCGGCCATGCTCGTGACCGCGCTTGGGCCGCGCTAATCGACTTCAACTCTGCCTCGTTTTTTCTGCTCTAGCGTGGCCGTGCTTGGCTCACGCTAGAGTGGATCAGCTATTTATCTCTTCTTTTCTTTCTTCTTTCATACGTACTCAACTCCGAGAGGCTTTCCTTGCTTTAATTTAGCTCCAAACATTGTCCTAAGTCCTCATAAGCATGACTTGCTGCTGCAAAACATAAAATTCACAATTAGAGCCATTTTATTGTCATTTAACCTTCCTAGAATAGTGAAGCGTAGTCAAGTTGGGGCATAAATAGTCGTCAAACTACATGAATCTAGCCTATTATCAATATAGTATCACTATATTGTATTTACGAAATAAATTTAATCTAGTATATCCACTAGTTTTATATTGTTATATTTTTTCTTTACTTATATTAAAGAGAAAAAAGAAAAAGAACTGCTACTCCGTGCAGTTATATATATGTACAATCAGAGGCAGACTTGTGTATAACATTGAGGGGTTACCGGACCCTATAAACTTCAGCAGACTCTTTTATATGTATATACGTATATCTTGAAAATGGTTAATTTAAATAACTTGACACCCTGAATACTAAAGCCTTTAGGGAATACTGAAGCAGAATACTGATGTTACGATTGCGTTAAAATCGTGGGTCCACCTCTGTGAACAATGGTGATTATCTAGTATTTATCTTACAAAGAAAAGAAAATCCTATTTACTCTTCCAACTTCGATTCAAGAAAATAGGCAAGTGATTATTGGAAGAAGTGGTATAATTTTATTTCATCAAATAATAAGTACATGTGTTTTGACTGAGGTTAGTGATGACATCAAGACGAAGCCCTTAAAGCTTCCATTGAATATGTAGTTATCAAAACGAAAGTCAGTATCAAACGTTATGTTAGTTGCTATGCTTGATTTGAATCGATAAAAAAAAAATTGTTAGTCGCTATTCTCAATTTCAATCGATTAAAAAAAACTCTGTTGAACTTTTCTAACTTTTTGTTGGTTCTTCAAGTAGCTATTGAGAGATTATATCCTATTTGACAATATTGACCTTTTAATGTACAGCAAGCAAGGTACTAACTAGTCTTTTTCTGTTTTCTTTACTTTTCCGGTAAAACACACTACATACGTAATTCTGAAAGGGGAAACCTACCAATGATCTTGGCGGGATGAATAAGATCCCTCCATGTTAACACATATTCCTATCTTGGATTTAAATCTTGAGAATGAAAAATATCCTAATAGAGCACTTATGTAATAACTCCAAAATACAAATTATATTGATGATAATATCTAACGATTACAACTCAACAAAATAGAGCAACAGTAATGGAAATACAAAAGTGCAGAAGCTAAGTAAGATAGAACAGAACCAAAGAAGGGGATGAGAAGCTAGACTCAAAATTGGGAGGAGAGGATTCAGACATTTCTCTCAACAGTTCGCATGCCCTGCATATCCCCCTGGATCCCAAATATAACTCCCCGGTAATCTATTCGGTTGTTTAATCCAATGTTTTAAAAGGCGGGGGCGCGAGGCGAGGCGTTTTACCTCTGACAAGGCGAGGCGTAAGCCCTGAGACATGGGGCGTAAGTCCCACGGATCTTTAAATTTTACTAATTTCAAGAATTTTCAGAAAGTATAAAATAAAAAATAATTATAAAAATTTAAAATCACAAAATTATAACAATAATCTATTTAAAATATTTATAAATTATAATTCAACTATGAATAATGCGAAAAGTATGACATATATCATAATATGCAAATTAGCTACAACGTCGTTACAACTAAAACATCAAAAGTAATGTATTCGGTACGAAATCCTATATGTATCTCTTAAGGACGATATTATAATTTTATATTTTTCTTAAAATACTCCTTTTATTTAATATGCTTTCTATTTGAAAGAGAATTTATATAAAAACATAATTCACAATTTAAATATGATTCTCTAGCATCAATTATTTTTAAGTTTCAATAAGTTAATAAAGTGACACATAAGTCACTATATAATACCATGATAACTAATTATTTGTAAATAGTTACTAGCTAATACTGAGCTATTAAATTAACAAGTATTGTATCTCGTAAACATGATAAAAATAATTATAAAAAAATTATGGACCATATTATATAGTAAAGACGAAACAAAAGTTAATAAGTAAATACTTTTTAAAATGAAGGATTTATTTAAAATTAACTATCATAGCAGTCTTAGTGGATAGTGTGTAATAATTTTTATTTTAATTATGACATAAAATACTCTCAACTTAATGATTTATGAATAAGAAAAAAGTAATTTTGAATAGTCAACGATTTATTAAGAAAATTTGAGGATTTACAAGGTTAATTACATACACTTGCATAAAGTTCTATTAGGCGAGCCCAGTACGCTGGGCGTTGGGCGTGTCCGGGGCGTAAGCCCCGATGGCCGATGCGTAAGTCTCGCGGAACTAAGCCTCACACATAAGCCCAGGGGCGTTTTACGAGTGCTCCGCCCCGGGGCGAGTCCCGGACGAGTCCCAATTCTGTCTTTTAAAACAGAGGTTTAATCCTTGGGCTTTCTCTTAAATTAGGTCCTGGCCCAATAGTCCTAACTGGATCAGTCTTGTTTAACAAATTTGGCCCATAAGTCCTTATTGTGTTAGCCTTGTTCACAACAATACTACCTCCTCAAAAAGAACCTTGTCCTCAAGGTTCGAGTTAGGAACACTGCTAGCAACATGTCCCCCACCAAATATTGGCCCGATGTAAGCGAGCATTGAGCCTCCAGTAAGAATGGAGTGCATATACAAGTCTTTCAAACAACACGACCAAATATCCATTGTGATTGTTGCAGATTCTGCAATTACAAGCAAAGGCCTATCTTTTGAGATGCTTGGTTCTCTGTCTATACTCTTAGTACTGCCATGATAAGAAAGTAGATGGCTAACAAGTGATTTTGTCAAGAAGCCAAAGACCAGTGTACTAATGAGCATAACAATAGTTGTAAGGGTATATTGAAAAAGAGCCCTATCTTGATAAAGAACCTGCAACATACAAATAATTTCTATTGACGAGAATATTGCTCCAATATCTGCCACCACCACAGATTCAAAATATTGTAACACCCCACCATCACCTATAGTGACAATATAAGTATACCAATTTTTTCTTCCAACAAGTCCACGTAAACAAATCTTGGAGGACCAGTTGTTGGCATACACGAATTTAACTAAATGTTCATCACCATTTCTTTCTACTATTTACACAGGACCACGAACACTAGTTTGAATCTCGTCAAATTGCGCATAGTTTTGGAACCCAATAACAGCATGAAGTGGTGCAATATGATTCATTCCAACAAGCACCTGTAGCAAATCTCAGTTTCACAATCAAGGGCAGTACTAAAGTCATGTTGTGAAACTATTGACCATATGAAGTTCTCCACCGAAGCTTTATGTTTAACGTCCAAATATTCATCCAAGACTAGTATATATTCTTCCCCTGCAATTGAAGGACATGTGGATGCAATGGAGTCATAGATAACATACAGCCCACTGGATAAGGTGTGACTACCTACAATTATGAAATAAGACCAAAAAGGTTCAACTGGAACCAATACCAAGTCATGTTCTGGTGAGTGCAAGCTAAAACAAGAAAGCGTTGAAGCTTCAACTTGAGAAGTATCACCGTCACTTTTAAATGCCTTCAGTAGCATGTCCCTAGTCTCTATGTCTTTAGGCCCCAATGCATAGGCATCAAGCAAGACATGGCACCCATCTTCATATGTCAAACTCATGCACTGATAAGAGAACACAAACAGTTCCATCTTCTTTCTTTTTTTATTCAGGTTATTCTTTTCTAAGTAATTATCAAAGAGATTAAAAATTGAAGATGTAGCAACTACCAATGCAAAATCAGACAAAAAAATGGAGAAATACATACACCATTGCCATCCCGGATCCCACAACGTGAGTCATAGAGTTAGAAACCACATACTCTGAATAGGATCTTAGAGTTAAGGTCTTGGAATTTATCTCTGGTGCCGTGATAATGTGATTTCTATGAGGGTTCAACTCAATTTCCAGCTCAGTCATAGTTTGGTTGATAAGAGATTGAAGACTTGGAACTCGACACTTGATAATATACTCCAAATGTTTTCACATGATTTTCTCAAGATGTTCTGTTTCCGTCCTGTGAGCGAGATGCTGTAAGATTGGGCAAAAATGCTCTGGAACCAATTTCTGTTCAATATTTGCAGCTTCCTTGATTAGGCTAGTAGCAGTCAGCTGCGGTTGAACCGCAGGCACTGAGCCTTCGACTAGCACTTTCACATCGCTCTCTTCCTCGGACTTTCCATCCTTGAAGGCAAACTCAATTGGTGTTATAGGGAGTAAGGTAGTTACGTTTGAAAGAGAACTAATGTTGAATACTTGGTCATTGGTATTGCCAACATTCATCTATGCTTACGATCGATCTCCTTTTCAAACATTTCATCGAACACCTTGCACGCTTCCGTTTTGCCTCTGTATTCGGATTGCTCTGACTCGCCAAAGCCTAATAAAATAGCCTCAAAACGACTCTGGTACTCAGACACAGTAGTTGTTTGTCGGAGCTTCGCCAATCGTCCTTCGACTGATTCTAGTCCCTTTCGACGGAATCGAATTCGCACCTTCGCAATAAAATGTTCCCAATCCACCAGCTGCTTGTTCTGAAAGAGCCATCGGTACCAATCTAAAGCTTCTCCATCGAGATAGGACGAGGCGAGAAGTAACATGTTGTTTTCTGAAATTCCATAGAATGCAAAGTATCGTTAAGCCAGAGAAATCCAGAACTCTGGATTCTCGCCACAGAATCGTCGGAATTCCACCGGAGTGGGCTTATTTCCAAGCAACTCCTGTAACAGTGAACGAATTTCAGCCAAATCCTTAGACCATGAATACTTCATGACATTAATTGAATCATCGATAGTTCGAATTATTTGGTCCTCCATTGAAGACCTCCGGATGAAAGCACCAATGTAACAACTCCAAAATACAAATTATATTGATGATAATATCTAACGATTACAACTCAACAAATTAGAGCAACAGTAATGAAAATACAAAAGTGCAGAAGCTAAGTAAGATAGAACAGAACCAAAGAAGGGGATGAGAAGCTAGACTCATAATTGGGAGGAGAGGATTTAGACATTTCTCTCAATAGTTCCCATGCCCTGCATATCCCCGGATCCCAAATATAACTCCCCGATAATCAAACTGGATCAGTCTTGTTCAACAAATTTGGCCCATAAATCATTACTGTGTTAGCCTTGTTCACAACAGCTTTCATCTTTTAATGGGCCTTACTCGATCTGAATCTGAATTAGTCTAGGTAACATATATCGGATGGAAAAGAAAAAAGAGTCATAATATATTAATGTACATTTTTCCTTTCTTACTTTTCATTTTGTGAGTACAAAAGTTGGCGTAGCATCATTTGGTGTTGACATGCCAAACGTGCATGTATTAATATTTTCTTTGGCTGGCATGTAATTGAGACTTCACAGATGACATCGGTCCAAGATTGTAGTTTCTTTTACTCTTTCAATTTCATTTGGAAATTGGAACTAGGATCCGATGCTAGGACATTGCAAAAATCACTAAGAGCCACGTTAAAAAAGATCGGTCGGTATAATATGTAGGCCGAAGGTAATTTATGAATCTTTGGAACTTGAATGACCTTATACATTAACTCATTTTTTAGGGAATTTTTTGGGGAAAAGACAGGAGTACCTACAAAAGTGAACAAAAGTGAAACTATTTATCCAGCCATACTCATTAAAGAATTCTACCCACTAAATAATTACAATCTCCTACCCATTTAATAAATAAACGGGAATATTAAAATAACTACCCCACGCTTAATAACCTACCTATAAAAACGCAAAAGCTGCTCAAAATTTCAGAAAATCAGCACACAAAATTGAGATTTCCACCGATATTCCCTAATTTGAAGATCACTAAGTGTGAAAAAATAGATCGAAGATGTTGATTCGCATCTTCTTTTCAGATTTTGATTTCGCTGTTGTTTTCAGATTTTGATTTCGCTGTTGTTTTTATTTTGATTTCGGAGCTAAACTTCTGAATTTTAGCTGAAAATTCTAATCTAGGTTTGGAGATCCGGAGATCTAGAGGTTTGATTTCGAAAAATCTGTTGCAGCTATATACTGTTGAAATTTCGAACACTGATGATTTCGAACACTGTTGAAATTTGCATTGTTGAGATTCAAGACATAAAAGTGATTATAACTTCAGAATCATGGAAAATATTCCAATTCTATTGCAGCATAGTGGAGAATGAGATGATAACAATAATTTCATAAATTTTCATGTTGATGCAATTCTAATAAAGACCTCTTGGAAATTTGAACAACTTCTCAGAGAAATTGCAAAGCAACTGCAAAAGGACAGTAAAACAATAGTTATTCAGTATGTTATTGCTCAAAGATATCCACCAATTACAATTTGCAGCGATATGAGTGTTAGTGTTTACATGGAATTGAAAAAATCAAGTGCAGGGATGACAACACTTCCCATGTGTGTGTCGTTTGCTAAAAACACTATAGCTGCAAGCACCTCCAGTTTCGATGTTGCTCCAATTTCATCAGAAATTGCACAATTTGAAAGCACTGATATGATTACTACGTTTGATGTGCAAGAAGGAGATGACGCCATTTTAGAACTTAATGATGCAAACATCATAACTGATCAATTTCATCAAAATGTTGAAAAGGGACAAATTTATGAAGACAAGAACTTGCTGGCTCTCGTTATGAAACAGTATGCTGTTAGAGAAAAATGTCAATATCGGGTTCATAAATCATGCCCAAGAAGGTTCGTCTGCATGTTTTCAAGTAAAAAACTATGTGATACCTATATAGTATATAAGTATGCTAAATCAGTATATTATACGAGTATGGAATTGTATTGGTTTGTCTATGTTTTTTATCAGTGATACAGGTATAGTATATAAGTATGCTATATCAGTATACTATGCGAGTATATAACTGTATTGGTTTGTCTTTGTTATTATCAGTAAAACATAATACCAATATAGTATATATGTATGCTAAATCAGTATACTATGTGAGTATAGAATTGTGCTGCTTTGTCTATATTTTTTATCAGCAAAATATGATATTGATACAGTATATAAGTATACCAACAGAGTATACCATGTGAGTATATAATTGTACGGATTTTTGTGTGTGTTTTTCATCAATAAAACATTATACATAACTGTATTTGTATTATAAACAGGTATATCCTTGAATGTGTGGATGAAAGATGCACTTGGAGACTTAAAGCATCAAGCCTGCGAGCATCAAATCTTTTCAAAGTGACAGATTTCAATTCTGTCCACAGTTGTTTAACTGATAAGAGATTTTGTTCACAAAAGCAAGCTGTCTCAGCTTTGTTGCAGTTGTGGTACAAGATAAACTTGTTGACCCGAAAATCATATATACACCAACAGATATCCAGAGAGACATCCAAAAAGCATATGGTATGGACTTAAGCTACATGCAAGCATGGAGATCAAAAGAAAAAGCAATACAATTATTGAGACGGTCACCAAGTGAATCAAACAAGAAAATGCCAACATATCTTTATATATTAGAGTACGCTAACCCAGGATCAGTGACACAACTACACACTGAAGGAGATGGGAGCTTCTTGTATGCATTCATAGCTATATATGCATCGATTAAAGGATGGGTCTATTGTAGGCCAACAATTGTAGTTGATGGAAGTCTTTTAAAGTTAACATATAGAGGGACCATACTCACGGATTCCACGCAATACGCAGAGGGTAAGAATACAATCCAATTACATTCAGTTAAAGAAACAAAAAACATTTTCAAATATTATATGATACCAGTATGGTATACAAGTATACCAACAGAGTATATAGTTGTTTTGCTACACACCTGCACGTACCTATGACTATACTACTATATGAAATACTAAATTAATATTTTATGTACAATCCAATTACATTCAGTTAAAAAAACAAAAAATATTTGCAAATATTATATGATACCAGTATGGTATACAAGTATACCAACAGAGT